AAAATGTAGTTTTTGATGTAAAAACATTCATAATACAGGGGGAAAAGTGTCAAAAAAAGATTTACCATCCATATGCATACTAGGCGATATCATGTGGCATGCAAGCAATAGTACAACATTACAAATGATTGTAAAAACACATACAGAATAAGTTTTATGAAAAAAAACAAATTAAGAAGTAAACGCACAACTCACTATTATCCTTTCGGCTAACATTTATTATATTAAGGCATGTGGTCAGGAGAAATCATTTATTACACCCCAACCTGTACTCTCTTCTTGTCAATACAAGTGTTTCTTCATACATATGGTAAAATAAAATAACAAACAGACAATCAAAGCGTGGAAGAGCAATTATATGATATTTGAAACTATACCTCTCAGAACTCCATAGACGTACAACCCCACGTTCTCCAACTGTAATAAAGTAGATTTCAGAGGACACGCTAGTTTCCTTTCTTTTTTGACTTAAAGAACCAACACATGAAGCAAAATCTGATCCAGATTTAATAACAAGAACAGCTTCAAGGACTTCATAAGTTAGGACAGTCTTCTTGCAGGTATAATTACGCAGGTTCCACACATTCACAACCTGAAATCATGATGTTATTGCTTGTCAGCTCGTTCCAAGGAATTTTGCAAGACCACAAGCATTATATTAGTATATAACTACCACTCAGTAAGGAAGCATCTCAGGAAAATTCCAAATTAGCAATTCATACATTCGTAACTATTAAATTAACCACAGCCAGAACAAACAAATACAAAAACTTTGTACTTAACATCTGCTGTAATTATCTAAAACTAAAAACTAACCATAGCTAGAACTGACAAGTATAAACCTCCTTTTCGTACTCATCATTCATCATTTTTTAATTTTATGTTGAAGAGTGTTTGGACCATCTTACGTGTATCTCAACTAATTTTACAAGGCAACCACCTAACTCTACCATATATAGTTGTTAAGGAATCTCATAGGATATTACATGCTACCATAGTTTGTATCATCTACTTCACTTTTTTCATTGACCTTGATGAGTGTGAGGCCAACTATGGGTGGTGTACTCCTCATTCATCAATGAAAAGTTGATACATTGAAAGACATGGGCTATCCCTGAAACTCCTATCCACATCCTCCAAATTCTACTGCTTCTATTCATCCAAGTCTACCACTAGGTTGCCAGACCAATTTCTCCGTAAAAGCATTTTGTTTCCTTCAAATAACCCACGAACCCAATGGAATTTACACTAGTAAGATGTCAACTTAAGGTCAATAATATTATAGATAATTGATTGACCACCAATAATAGCAACTCTTGTTCAATACGCTGCAGCTGATACTTTCTCCTTTTTCAGGACTCTGAATAAAGTTGAGTCCAGTGCAACGGGCAGTGAGGTGGTGCAGGTCCACAATTCCCTAAAAGGTAAGCTAGTAACTGCAAGCTCTAATTTACGCCTGACCATAGGCGGTTCATCATCAGACAGAGATTTATGCTTAGATGTCCAGATTTCTAGTCTATGATTTGGCAAATCAAAAATAACAACAATTGTTCAGCCATACAATAGCATATCAACATTTGAATAAATATCTGTTTACACAGCAATAGTAGAAACTTTTTTATGCATTGTGGCAGCCTCGGTTATACAAAGTAGAATTATAGAGTGCAGGTTGCAAAATCAATAAAATTAAAACAAAAAAGCAACCACACATAATTCAACTTGAAAAGGAGAAAAATAACAAGAAACATATATATGTGGCTGATCAGCACAGTAAATGGTACTTAAAGGGAAGACACAAATTTTGAAAAATAATAAAATAATAATTGGAAAGGGAAAGGGAAGGACGAGAGAAGAAATAAAGCCTTGCCTTATCTCTTCCAGCACTTAGTAAGGTCCAACCATCTTCAGATATAGCAAATGATGTCACAGTTGACTCGTGACCAAGTGTAGCAATGCACTTCTTAGACATAAGATCCCAAACTCGAACACTCCCATCCTCACTTCCAGAGAAAAGCTAAAATACAAAGGCCAATCTCAGTAATTGTAAAAAGTACAACCAATAATAAATTGGAAAGAGAAGGCATCCTATCAATCATGTTATTTCTTGATAAACTGAACTCAAACAATTTGAAGGCAGAACTCATAAGTGATACTAATTTTAGCGTTTTTATGGCATTTTCAAATATAAAAGGATTATATGAATGAGGACACAAACAAAGAACGCATAGATCACATAATATCATTTCACAACCATAAAATTAGAAAACGTAATAAGGTAATACTAAATAGGCTGTTGAGTCCTATACATAAGAAAGAAAACGTCGACCAAAAGCGATAAAATTGAGGAATAAATGTAATAGTTGTTGGAATCAGCTTTGGACACAAGAAGGGAACAACCATGAGACGGCATCTCCTTTAGTATTTGCAACTCTTCTCTAAATAAAAGATAAATTTCATTAAAATCTGTAGCACATAAATCCATTCCTCTAAAATAACGAGATGCCATTTGCTCACCCTTGACAAAGACTATGGTCCACATAACTTTTCTAATAATTCAATATCTAACCACAATCAACATTCGAGTAAAACATTCCCCTTTCAACCTACTTTCTTCGAGTAGCATCTGTAATAGTGAATGATAAGCGGCGAGGATATTTATAACAATTTCCTTTACAATGCATCAGATTACAGAAAGTCAAAATAGAAGTTTTCTGAATCTGATACTTACCAATTGTTTGTTAGGATCAGGATGAAATAGAATGCTAGAAACGACCCCTTTGTGACCAGTGAAGTAATGAGTACAGAAGCCACCATCGACATCCCAAACAAGGACTTTCCTATCAGCTCCTGCTGTAGCTAACAATCCCCCAGATAAATGGCAACTCATACCCATCACAGGACCATCATGCCCCTATTTGAAGTCAAAAGACAAAACAAGGAAACAAACAATGAAGTGGAAAGCATCAGTCCCTCACTACTACCAATATGTTCATTCAGTTTGATGCCAAAAACATTATTGAAGATAAAAGGAAAAAAATGCAGGATAGAAAAACAGCATATTAATTCGATAATTCTGTCTTCAAAGAAAAAAATAAAGGAATATGTTTAATTCATAAGGAAGTCAAACATTCCCATAGGTCGAACATCCACTGTCAAGAACCACTTAGAAGTTGTAATCCTAAAATTATAAACTTCCTACTTTACTTCATACTCAATTCTAGAAAATTGAGGTTCAACCAGGTACATAGAGGTACAATTCCCATATCATTTACAAGGTATAGTAAATTATAATCTTTAATTTTTGAAAATCTAGGTATACAAATTAGAGAGGATAATTTAAAATATTAACTTTCTATACAGTTTTTTGATCTTTTTAAGACTAACAGTTGAGAATCCTCCCCCCCCCCCGGTGTTTATAGTCGCAATAACCAACTTGACACGTTCATTTAAAAGCAGAGGGACCAAATTAAGCTTCCATTAGTTAAACCATCCCTCAATACTCAAATAAAAACACTAGATGAACTTCAATCCCTTATTTACCTTCCAAGACCGAACACACTTCATAGTCGAGAGGTCCCATACTCGAATCTGCCTGCTGTGGCCCGCAGAGAACAGCAATTTATCATTCGGACTTAATGCTAGAGCAGTGAACACCTCAGACTCGCCACCTTCCACAGTCGACCGAATGGCCGCAGTGTCTGCATCGACGATCTTTATCGAGTCGCCACAAGCACAGGCGATGAAAGAAGCGTCTGATGATACTACAAAAGCCCCGCCTTCGTAGAACTGTTGAAGGAATGGAACACAACGGTAGTTCTTCTTGAAGGGAGGAGTCGCCATTGGAGGCAGAGCAATACGAGAGAGAACACAGGGTTTTGGAACGGTGAAGCGAGGCTAGGGTTTAGGGAGAATTATAAACGATTGAAGTACTCAAAATTTCAAACTTTTATCTATAAATATTTTTATTTTTATCACTTATCTTAAACGGTAAGAAGACATTTTTATATTTACCGAAATATAATATTTAAAAAATATATTAGTTATGAAATATATTTTAATATTATATTTATATTTTTTTTATCGGTAGATATTAGTTGGTAGCTTGTATTCTATTTAAATGTTATGAATATTCCTGAGAATACACATTTTCGATTTCAATTTTATTTATATTCTTCATTCTTAACCATATTTTAAAATTTAAATTAAATATATGTAATAGGTTATATAAAATTATAGGATATTATAAAATAATAATTATACAAATTTTTATCATAAAACATATTAAATAAATTGATTAATAAGAGTTTATAATCAACTTAATATCAATTAAATAACTATATTTATGTTATTGCTATATAAATATATTATATTAAACACATTTTCGCGTTTCTTCGATCTCCATACTTAGCATACGCTCTTTGATTAAATTTGAAGTATTTTCTTTTTTTATTTTAAATATTTAAAATCTTATTTATAAACGACGGTTTGAAATGACTTCTAATGTTTGTAAGTACTTAGAAAAATCAACACATGTTCTAATTATGTTCGGTGACCAATTTTTCCAAAAGGCTCGACATAATTACAACTTTTCTTCAACTCCCAGTTCTAGGTTCTCTATCAAAATTCATGTACTTTAACCCTTTTGTCTCGTGCCTGCGTTCTTCTTTGTCTCTGGACTCGTGTTTCTTATGCTATGGTTGATAGTACAATTGAGTAGTCGTAACTCGTGAGGTGAAATTTATTCTTTTAAAAGAAAAGGTAGAGTCATTATAATAATCACGACATGCATGTAACATTATCAAGATAGAAATCCTTATTTTATTAAGTATTTGGCTGATTGACAAGTTCATAAGCAATAGAAATCTCTATCCTTATTAAATAAGCACCTTGCAATTTTAAAGATCATTTGATCGATTTACTTTGAATACGACATCTTAAAATAAACGTGCGCATCGAGGTACATGTTCTCAATCGAGGTACAAGTTGATTCAATAACAATCAATAAATAAAATATAGGGTTTCATTATATATGAAAATTACAAAGAGAGAATATACAAGGCAGATAATTTGATACCATTATCCATCATAAACTTGTGATGGACACATAAAAATGGAAGATTTTCTTCCTACACTTTAATTAAGAGGTTGTCATTGACTTTCATAAGATCAGGCCTTCAGTTATGTTCAAAAGCTAATATTCTAAACAAAACCATTGGTCCTTAGATATCATTTCCAAAAAAATAGTAAAAATAAAAATAAAAATAAAAAAGAGACCCCAATTATATTATAATAGAACATCAAAATGAACCTAATAATAATGCACAAATTATAAATAAAAATTGGGAAAATCTTAATTAATTTTGTTGGGCAGGCAGGATCTGTGGTCAACATGAAACCCCACCTTTTCAAAATCCACCATCAATTTGATAAGTTTCTTGTTGCTTATCCCTTGTTGATATACAACAGATTCCTCCAAACTGCACCAATAATAAAATAATTTAATTAAATGTTGTGAATTCCCAAACGAAACTGAAATATCTAGAACAAAATTTCATAATCTATCTTCAATTATTATAGTAGCTACAATAAAGGCTTTGAATTTTCAATTTGCTTCACTAAATTCTATGTCACATTACAAATTTTAAACTAATTAATGTATTAGGTATAAAGTTCATAATTTTATCTTCGAATGTCAAATTGTTCAAACACAAAATAAAAAAAACCCATTAAGCTGTTGAACACAATTTTAAAAGTTCATCAAATAGATATAAATTCAGAAATTATCAGAAATAATGAACTAAGCATGTAATTTAATAAGGGTGATGTGGCTGAATATAAAACCGCAGAATTGAAAAGGGGGAGAGCAGGAACCTGGAATGAGAGAAAGCTTCAGAAGAGGGCGGTAATAGCATGTGGGCGAGTGTAAGAGCTTCCTCATGAGAGTTAATGATATTATTGAAGCATAAATATCGACCGTAGGATGAGACATCTTCAAGTACGCATATATGAGCATCAACTATGAACTTGAGATCTACGGTCACCAACAGCCCATCTTCGTACATCTCAGCCGCTCCTTTCAAATACGGATTATTGATCGTCAAGTCGTGGCCCATTACCAGCCCTCCATTTATGGTCACCATATTCACCCCACGATCCATTGCCAGGGCCCACGCGGTTTTCTCCGCTAGGGTTTTCGATAGAGCGTGCCACAGCTGTTCAAAACCCCACAACAGTTAGAATGGTAAAAAGAAAAAAAAAAGGGGAAATAGGGGGTGGTTTAGGGGTAAAAAGGAAAAGTTACCTTGAACTTCTTGCAGAGATTGACGTCGCTCCAGTGGCGTTCGTCAACGTCGGACGACATCGTTTTGATGCCGTCACGCCAAATTACCGCAGTAACGGAGGAGGTGAAAATAACTTTCTCGATGGTGTCCGTTTGGGCACATGCTTCCAGAACATTATGAGCTGCTCTTACTTCAATTTCCACCATTAATTCCTGCCACCCAAACAACACGCCTTTATTCATCACATATTGTCCTTTTAATAAATAAATTGATATTGAATTTGGAGTAATTTGAAATGTCATGAAAGTGGTTTTTATTAATTTCAAATTCAATTCTAAGCATTTGTTTAACCTTTAAAACTAATTTTGACGATATAAAAATATAAAACTAAATCACATTAAACTAATCATAATTTTGATGATATGAACAATACTTCAAACCTGAAATTATTTATAGAAGTGTTTTTAATATAAAAGTAAATCACATTAAATTAATCATAATTTTGATGATATGAACAATACGTTAATGAAATTATTTATAGAAGTGTTTTTAATTTCTTTACAGATCTTGAACAAAGGAAATCATCTTAATCCGACTACTAATTTAACACCATGTTCAGTTATCCAACGAATATATTTCCTGAAAAAAATTCATGTAAAAAAATTCCATTAAAAGGTGAAGTTCCAAATCTGTTGAACTAATATGAACAATGTTTCAAAAGCTCTAGACGAACTGAAAGATCAACTAAATTTTAAGTATATCAAAATATAATAAGATTTATGCTTAATTCATATCATGATTAATATAGTAACGAACAAAAATGAAGTATGGAAAAACGATCGGTGACTGCAAAATTCCTATACTAAAACAGGAAGCAAAATTCCTTTCTAGAGAGAGAAAGTAGAGAGAGAGAGAGAGAGAAGAAAAGTTACATCGTAGGTGGAATGATCAGGAGGAGGTTGAAAGGAGTAGAACAAAGCGGAGCATCCTTTAAGAGCGTTCATAATGCTATGATAATCCAACGGATCCGAACGGCAAACCTTCAATTTGTTCGTATTTCCCTTAACACACTGCAATTCCTCTACAACACGCCACAAAATCAAACGCACATTTCAGCAATTACGACGAAATCAAAACCGAAATCAGATTCAGATTCACGAGAAATTAAGAATCACAATAGCAAAACTCATTTCGATTCAATTCAATTCTTACCGTGATTCTGAACAGAGGCATGAACGTTATAGCCTCTCTGCAACAGCGCAGCCACCAGCGCCGAGCCTGTGCCACTGGAAGCGTCCATTACGCAGACGGTCTTAGCGGCGGGAGCCATTAGAGAGAGAGAGAGGAAAGGAAGGAGGAGAAAGGAAGTGGAGGAGTGTTAGAGAAAGGGGGAAAAAGGGATTTGGTATATAAAGAAAGAAAAAAAAAAAGAAAGGGCATTGAAAGAGGGTGGTGATTTAGTTGGGGAGTTGGAGGTTAAGAGCTGAATTTTCTTCAATTATTGTATTTAATCATAACAACATTTAACAAATTAAATAAAAAAAAATAATAATAATAATTTCACGGGTTTCGTTGACATTCCAACCTCCAACATTTTGATCGAGATATAAATAAATTCATTCATCGAAGTTATTCACTGATATCGAACATTTTATCAAAGTTATCAATGTTTTAAAACAACATACTTCAACCGATTCATTTATGGTAATATTTTTAACTTTTTTTTTTTTTTTAAAGAACAATTCTCGGTCGAATCTTATTTTAGTTTAGTAATAATAGAATAAGATCGAGCTAACAAAATAACAAAAAAAAAAAACACTACGAACCTCTTCGATCGAAGTTGAAGTGTTTTCTTTATGTTTATTGATATTCGTCGACAATGTAAGTAGAGATGTCTAATGAGCCAGACTATTTTACTGTCTCTATCTTTACCATCTATTTCATTCTCTATTCCCGTAAAAAAAAATTTATTTATTTTTACTACGATTTTGGCGAAAATTACTTAGCTGTAATTTTTTCCTATTTATTATTTTTTTTTAAAAAAATAGTTATTTTAAAGCGATATAATATTGATTAAAAACCGTACAAATAAAATATATAAGGCAACTTAATTTCTAAAAGAATCAAAATTTAATATAATAACATAGTTTTTAATAATTAAAAAAAATACTAAAAATAATAATTATTTTTTTTAATAAAGCCAGAAGAGATATGTGTCAATAATATATTTATATTAAACGGAGACGGGCGGGGGTGGGGAATATAATCCCGTCCCAATTTATCTAATATGGGAAAAAATGTTCCTCACTCCCTCTCTCATTCATCGTCTAAACGGAGAATCTCCTCCCCGTTTGAGGCAGGTCTTCATAGGCAACATAGACATCTTTAAACGTGAAGTTCTGCACAATTTATAATGAAGAAATAAATTTGACACAAAAAATTCTTCTTAGATTGTACGATTATAGACGTCTACCGTTCACATCCAATACAAAGTCAAATACGCCACTCGATCGTAGACCTACCTTTATTACATTAACTCCTCTAAATATAATAGATACCTTGACTCGAATAGACACACGTTTTTGGGTTGGTCGAGTTGGCTACCATAATGAACCAAAAAGAGTTCACAATCAGCCTAACTCGCCTAACTCGACCTTTATTTTTCGGTTAGATTGACTTAGGTTGTCCGGTTGTTTAATTATTTTCTTAATTATTTATAATACATGTTATATTAATAGTTAAATTTTTGCAAAAATTTACCACTAACATAACAAACGTGAGATGGAACACTAATAATTCTAACAGAAAAATATTAAAAGTTCTCAAATTCATTAGTTCATAAAACACGCATTAATCCATAACAATATAATCACTGTAGTTAAATTCTTAAACGTCTAGTTCTATTAGATTTGCATAACAATAATTAGACCAAAACATCGAGCACAACGATAATCAACATCATAATCATGAGCATTAGTTATTCGACGACGACAACCTAGACAAGTTCGACCGAAAAGAAAGAGAAAGGGAGTTGTGACTGGTTCGACGGTCTATTCCCTCTTCATATTATTTTCTAAAAAAAAAACTAAACTAATACCAAAATCTTTATAGTCCGAAATAAAATAAATATAACAGACCAAGCCCACCGCTAGCAGATATTGTTTACTTTAGCCCGTTACGTATCGTCGTCAGCCTCACGGTTTTAAAACGTATCTACTAAGAAAAAGTTTCCACACTCTTGTAAGTAACGTTTCGTTTCTCTTCAACCGACGTAGGATCAGACAATGAACCTAACCACAAACTTCAACGATACTTTTCAATAATTAATTAAGACATTAATAAATATTTAGCCATTTTTCTTATAAAAAAATTTAATCATTAAAAAGAATCAAAAGTTGATTCATGAATGTTCCAAAAGTAGCGTTGACTTTTTTTATTATTGTAAAACACAATAAAACATTAAATAAAAAGAAAGAAAACAAGAGAAAGCCAAACAGGATAAGGTAATTAAAACAAATGATATATTTTGACTTTTGGTCCTTTTTTTTTTTCTCTATTTGACCTAATTTTTCAAGTATTTGACATATGGGGTTTTTTAATTTTTATGTTTAAGGCGGACAAGATTGCTGGAAAAATAAAAATATATGTAATATTGACGACGTATAAAATATCTGTCGTTGAATAAAGTCAACTGGTTCCATAATTTTTGTCACACCTAAGTAAACGAAGGATACAGGAACGAGCACCACATTCAAATGAGAGTGATATTGAGGATATGAGGACTAAAATTAAACGAGTTGTGCTTTGAACAACATGAATAATTCTATGTTAGATGACCTTCTAAGAAATTTCATATGGGAAGAACAGTGACCATGTCGGAAGAGATGTAGGAGAATAACAGAGTCATCAGGTGTTGAATTTCGAATTTTGAATCGTGATAAAAATTCTAAGCATGGATCGTTACAATTTCTGTCTGGATCTTTGAAATTATTTTTGTTATACAAACACTCGAACTCGATAAGAAACCTATAAAAATCGAATTAAATCGATAAAAATTTAAAAATTTGAAGTGAAAATGGATAAATTAAGGATGTTTTTTTTGTTCATAGGAATTGCAATAAATAATTGATGGGGTAGAAACAAGGAGCTGGAGCCAGCAAGATTTAGGTCAGACAGAGACAAGTAGGGTTGGAAGTCTCACCTTTGACTCACACTGGATTTTCCTTTTATGCCAGCCAATTCCAGCTCGTTGTCTCTCGTTTGTCACCGTCGACATCTTTTTAAATAAAGAGACAACGATTATGTGTCACTTGTTCTAATTCAGTGAGTTATTCATCTGTGTAAAATCATACTTCACGGACAGTTAAGACATATGGTCGAACCTCAAATCATGTTTCGAGAGAAAATGTTTTAGAAACCGTGAGCGGGGATAATCGTCGAAACTAAACTGAAAGAAAGTATTGTGAAATGGAGTTTGTAACGTCCCCCTCCAACCTTTTTATGCCAGCTGATTCCAGCCAACTGTCTCTTACTTGTCACAGTTGCAATCTTTTTAGAAAAGGTACAACTATTATGTGTCGTTTACTCTAATTCATTCAGTGAATAAGTCAACTGTGTAAAATCATACTTTAATAATGAATAATGAATAGTAATAAGTATATATGTATTTAAGAGACTATGAGTTGCAAGCTTTCATACCAAATGGGCAAAGGTCTAATAGAATTTGGTACCCATTTGGTCCCCGTCGTGTGATGTCCCATATTGGTTGGGGAGGAGAACAAACCACCATTTATAAGGGTGTGTAAATCTTCTCCTAACTGACGCGTTTTAAAGCCTTGAGAGGAAGCCCGAAAGGGAAAGTCCAAAGAAGACAATATCTGCTAGCGGTGGATCTGGGGCGTTACAAATGGTATCAGAGCCAGACATTGGACTATGTGCCAGCCTTCTCGCTCTTCCTTGAAGAGAGGGTAGACACAAGGCAGTGTGACAGTAAAGACAATGAGCCCCAAAGGGGGTGGATTTGGGGGCGGTCCCACATCGATGGGAGGAAGGAAAGAGTGCCAGCGAGGTTGTGATGTCCCACATTGATTGGGAAGGAGAACAAATCACCATTTATAAGGGTGTGAAAACCTTCCCCTAGCAGACGCGTTTTAAAGCTTTGAGGGGAAGCTCGAAAGGGAAAGCCCAAAGAGGACAATATCTGCTAGCGGTGAACCAAAATATTTAAGATTTGAATGGTTTTAGAGATGATCGTTTGGATCGGGGCCTTATGATTAGTGTTAAAGCTAGTAGAGTATCACGAGTCGGTTCTATAATCCAAGTTGTCTAACGTAAATTTATACAAAGTATTATATTAGTAAACTCATCGTCGGAGGGAAAGCCCGACAGAAAAAACCCAACGGGATCCCTCTTCCTCCTCGTGGACATCTCTATCCCTGTTTTGACCGACCAATCATCTTCTTTTACTTCTCAATTTCAAATTTAAATTTAAATAAAATATACTTAAAAGAAATAAAGAAATAAAAGTTATAATATTTTTTAAATACCAATACAACTAGAAAATTTAGTTAAGTAATTTTTTAAAAATTAAATGAGATATTCAAACTTAATTGAGTTATAAATGAAATAATAAATGTATAGAAGACTTAAATAAAGAAAATATTTAAATAAATTGTAATATGTCTATAAATACTTCATGATTTAATTGCAAGACAACTTTTTATGTTATTTAAAAAGCAATAAAAATAACAAATATGACAATTAAATTTAAACATTATCTTTATTTTTTTTTTATTATTATTATTTATTAATGATGCCTATTTAATAAATTTGACTTATATAACATGTGTGAACATAAAGTTCAAGAAGCGTTAATTTCAATTATACGTTTAAATTTAGGTCACTAAACTAGGGTCGCGGACCGACCATAGAACCTTGTTCAATAAGTGGAACGCATTGGCTTTCCGCTATCCGGTGGGACAATAAGAGTCGGAGAAGGTCAATCACTCATTCTTAAAACCAGCATTCTTAAGACCAAAGAGGCGGGCGGAAAATGGGGAAAAGCGTTCTAGGAGTCATAATTTTGTATCTAATAGATCATTAAACTTTCAATTAAAATTTAAAAACGGATATATTCCATACAAAAATAAAAATTTAAGAGTGTATTCGATATAAAATTAAAAGTTCAGAAATCTGTAAAAACTTTTACCTCCTCTATCACAAATCGAAAAGTCGAGAAATTAAAGTTGTTCAATCAGTTCTTCGATTGAACATATGATTTGGGTTGAAAACATGGAACGTTGTTGTACTCTTAAACCTCAACTTGTGTTGGCGGCGGCAAGTTGTGATATCATAATCATAATAGTAAATATAATGAGTTGAGTTAGTTTAGTATGAAACTGATAGCA